CTGGCTACAAGGCCCAAGTTGAGCTCCCCGTCCTCCTGCAGGGTTGAACTCTGCAAGGTTCTATTGCAGTTTCTAGCTGCCTTTCCCCTGAAGATAGTCCAGGTTCTGATGGGAGGTGGTGATTCCTCCAATTTACCAAGTATGGTGGTCTGGTGTGGCTGTATTCTGGAGAGTCTCTTTAGTTTTCCAGTGGGCTTCAGTTTTCATCAGTGAGGCTGAGAGAGTCCCTCTCTCTGTTGTTCACTTCTGGAGCACAGGCCATTGGACTTTATGACCCCATGTGTCTCTGTAGTGTGGATCCAGGTAGCTGGACAGCAAAGTGACAAGAGCCGGGGGGTGGGGGTTGGGGCATGTTGGAGGCACCTGTGCTGGTATGCTGGTGGCCAAGGGGTCCTCACCATCCCTCAGCATCTTTAAGCATTAGAGAAAATCAAATGAAAATGACACTGAGATTCCAACTTACTGCAGAAATAAAAGCTATTGTTAAAACTCAATAAACAACAAACTCTGATGAGTTTATGGGAAAAAGAAAGCCTTCCTCATTATTGGTCAGAATGTAAAGTAATATAGTCACCATGACAATCAGTAAGGAGATTCCTTAAAGAAAGGAAACTGCTATACCTCTTCTGCTGATTTGACCCTGTTATATTTTTTCTGGCTATCTTCCCAAAAGAAAAAAGTCATCATATTACAGTGATACATGCATATTCATGTTTATAGCTGTATAACTCATAAGAGCTAAAAATGCCCAACACCAGGTGTTGGGATAGAGAAAGTGTGGTATATTGACACCTGGGAGTACTACTTAGCCATCTGGAAGGATAAACTTGAAATATTTCTAAGAAAATGGGTGCATCTTGAGACCATATTAATAATTTTTAGAAATCAATCAAAGAAGGTTAATATCACACAGTTTCTCTAATATGAGAATCCATAATACAAATGATTTGAAGTGCAGAGTAAAACACATGTTGAGAAACAGAGATATGGATTCCATAGATATTGGAGAATATGAAGAACTGGGAAGAGGGGAAGACAGACATAAGAGGGGAAAATAGCAGTGATCATGATTATGTATGTATATGTACCAATTCTTCATTAGGAATGTGAATGTCATGTTTGTGAAACATATACTGATAAAAATAAATAAAACATATACTGACAATGAGTAAAAATAATGTTAAATTATAAAGCATGTTAAGTACAATTAATGGTAATATATTATATTCTAGAAAGCTTCTGAATAAATGTTAGGTGTTCTCTTTATAAAAAGGATAATTACAGGAAGTAATAGAAACTGTTTTATCAACATAGTGATTTCATAATATTACATTCCTGGTAAAGATAAACGTGCTATATGTGAGAAATGCATGTGGTTTTATTTGTGCACCTAAAAGATAAAATCAAAAAATAAAAATGTGAAGAAAAATTAACAAGAAAGGACTTCTAATATTTTGTATCATTGTGAGCAACAATCCATAAAATTCCCAAAGTTGTTCTCAGTAGGGGTACCAAGAGAAGAATTTTCTGGAATTGTTTTCATGAAGAAATTATGTATTACTTCGTGCAAAACTTGTGACTTTGAAATCTTGTAAAGATACAAAGAGTTTCTCCTGGAGGAAATAAAATGATCTCATTAACTGTTACCACTATACACACAACATGTACCAAGAAATTTCCACTCACTTTTAATTTTTCATATCCAAGGGAGCTAAAATCTTTGGAGCCTGAAAAGGCCATACCACAGTTTATTTAATTAGGAGCTTTGAGATTCAAATCATTTGCATCTAGAAAGTATAAAGACACACAACTGTGGCCACTCACCTTTATCTCTGTAGTCATCCTCTGTGAAAAGTTAAGTGGGGTTCCTAGAGAAAGAGCTCATAGAATGGAAAACTGCAGTGACAGCCACAGGTGAGGTGGATATATCCTATCGAGGGTAGGTGGAGGAAGAAGAGGGGAAGACAAGGTGGGTACTGGGCTTCCCCTCTAGAATAATGATCTGGGAAATTCCCATATTTAGCCTATAGAAGTGAAATATTCTGAAGCAACATTTGTTTTCTTTGAGACTTGGCTATACCACTTACTTCTCTTTCTCTTCTCTGGCTTTAGAAACAAGAATCTCTGCTGAAAATGAGTTGTTTTTCTGGAGAATCACCAGCACTTCACCACTTTTTCTCATAAGTTGTAGTCTCTGATCAGATTATTTTTCCTTGTATCTTGAAATTTTAATTTTTATCTGCACATGTTTGCAATACATAATGTTTACAGTCACCATTGCAATTTGGTACAGGTACATAACCCATCGTAGTACCTTATTTTATCTTCTCCTCTCCCTTCGCCTTCTCTCTAATTCTTGGTCACTTTCTCCTTTGCAAAATGTCTTTCTCCTTGCTTCCTGTGATGTATTTTCACTATACTCTTTAACTTGTGTATACATTGAATTGCTCATGTAAGAGAAAGCATGTGATATTTAAACATGAGAGTGTGACATATTTCACCTAACATTATATTCTCGAAGTGCACCCATGTTTT